AAAGCATTTTAATTAATTCAATTATTAATCTAAATGCAATGCCTCATTTCTTCTGCAAAAGCAACATTACATCACAGCTTTCTGTTTCCACAGGAAGGACATTATAACTCAGGGGTCTTTCAAGGAGGGCAAACATAAAACTCTGCACTGCCCTCACACCTCTCAGGACCGTGACTATGTCTGCCTTTCCCCAATTCATGTTAACACCATAAGAACAATTTCAGTACACAATAAAATAATGGACCAAAGATGTTGTGCCAAACCAGTGGAAATTCTTTAGATAACCGATAAATCTGCAACCCACGAGCAAGGCTGCCTTAGGATTAAGGGCCACACATATGGAATAATAGAGGGGTAATGAGGGCTCCCCTCCCATTCCCCAAATATTCCTACCCTACTGCCTGGCTATTGGTTTAAGCTCTCCATTTAGTGCTCACCCTTTTGACCTGAATTAATTACAGCTAATGTAAATACCCCTTTACAGATAATATGGTAAGCCTTAATAATATTTAAATTTTTTGTGTACATTTATCAAACCTTTTCTGAGAGCAAATTTGAAGGAGAGTTGGAAAGAAAATCTCACTTGGAGCCTGAGAAGGGAGGGGAACACAAAAAGGGTAAAAATGTAGAATTTTTACCAATTTTGTCTCCTGCTGAAATTCACTACATTTATACAGCCAACAAGGACCCAGGTTCCCCTTCAGAACCTGGCCTGGGACCAACCATGGATGTTGACTCTAAACCAAAAGCTTCAGTATTTCATTGGAATCATATCATTCTCTAGGCCAGCCAGGAGAAAGAACAGTCCACTCAGCCTGAGAGATCAGCCAACTCCTTCTTGGCAGTCAGTGAGAGATGTGGAAGCCAGATGGTCTTCCCATGTGGACACCAGGCAAGTGATGGAACATTCCCTCAACTCCCTGCCTACCACTATCTGGGATCAGTCAATTCACTTTAAGAACCAACCGGAGGCCGGGTGTGGTGGATCAAGCCTGTAATCCCAGCACTTTGGGAGGCCAAGGCGAGAGGATTGCCTGAGCCCACGGGTTCCAGACCAGCCTAGGCAACATGGTGAGACCTTGTCTCTACAATAAATCAAAAAATTAGCCTGGCATGGTAGCGTGCACGTGTAGTTCCAGTTACTGGGAAGGCTGAGGTGGAAGGATCGCAGGAGTCCAGCAGGTTGACACTGGGGTGGCCGTGAGTGTGCCACTGTACTGCAGCCTGGGCGGTAGAGTGAGACTCCAACTCAAAAAAAAAAAGAACCAACTGGATATAAAATTGCCTGGATGTTGGACATTTTTGACATTCATGTTGTGTTCCTGTATACATTCCTGAGAAATGTCTGTGCATTGGGGAAAGAGGTATGGATTCTGACAATGGTATCAAACCCCAAGAGACAATCTCTTCATATGTAGATCTGCCATCTTTTCTGAACACACTTTTAGCCTGTAGCCCTTCTTGAAGTAACAGCTCTCATAAAAGCACTACTCACTGAGTTAAAATAACATTTTTACATTCGGTATGGAAACTACGTTAAAGCTTCAAAAAAGAAAAAAGCCCAGAGCTTTAGTAATTCGGGGTGTAATGAGCAAGTCCATATTTGCCCTATCCATGTGCTTCATTATTTTATAGACTTTAAACCTGTCTCCTCTAAGCCTTTGTCCTTCTAGAACAAGAAGTCTTCATAACCAACCAAATGAAAAGAACATTGCTCCTAGTGGCTAACACAAACTGCCTGAGAAACATTATAATCTCAGTCTTGAGCAACTTGAACATTCTACATTTTTAAAATCCATTAACTATGAGCTGCTTTAAGGCTCAGCAGTGTCTGTGTTCCAATCATTCTCTCCCCTCATCTTAATCAGTTCCTTCTTTAAGTCAGAATGCTTCATTTGTACAGCCTGATAGTCAAGAATCGGGGCTTTAGAGGCAGGCAGACCTGAGTTTGAATCCTGGTTCTTTCACAGATGACCTGAGTCTTCTCAAACTCATTAAGCCTCAGTTTTCCTACATGTAAAATTAGAATAATAAAAATGGCTCTTTTCATTGGGTCATCAAGAGGATTAAATGGTATAATTGTTGTGAAGCACTAAACACAATGCCTTTCGATGGAACCCAATACAAAATGAAAATTTGGGGCCTCCTGTTCAAAAAGTATTAGGAATTTCAAGATGGCAACAGCAGAGCAGCAAGCCAAGTGTGGGACCCTGTGGTGCTGCCCCAGATGGCAGGCTCACACAGTCGGCCTACCCTCTCAGATGATGAACACTCAGTGATGGTAGCTGTCATCACCTCTTACCACTCTCCCAACTTACTTCCTCACCTCACCCTCCTCTCAGGCTCTCCTCAACTTGTTAACTTTTGCTGGATCATTCCAAAAAGAAGCACCAGAGTCTCAGAAATAACTTATATTTATAAGAAGAGTAGCTCACCAAAATGGGGGAATCCAAAACAGAAGATGATTTTACCATAGGCTCATGCCAAATGCACCCTCAGATGAGAGCCCTTGCTCTGGCTTTTCACCCTGCTGAGCTGACACTCCCATCTCCATCAGATCTTTGTTCAGATCCATTTTCTACAGGAGGCTTACTCTGATAACTCAGTTCAGGTCCACAGTTTGCCCTTCCCCCATCCTGTATTCTCTATCCCCCTCATCCAGTTCTACTTTTGCTTTTTCCATTACACTTACTATCATCTAATATACAATACCATTTACTTCTTTATTATGTTGATCTGTGTTGTTTATCTTTCCCCACACACCACACACACACACACACACACACACACACACACACACACAGAGAGAGAGAGAGAGAGAGAGAGAGGAGAGAGGAATGCAAGCTTCTAGAGGTCAGGGATTATTGTCTGTTTTTGTTCATTGATGTATCCCAGGTGTTTAGAATAGTGTTTGCCACACAGAAGACAGTCAATAAATATTAACTGAAAGGACGCATATGTCTTTGAGGGAATGCATAATCAGGCTATCCATTTTCCACATGAAAATACAGCTGGAGGTCAGGCCAGCCCACATTATGGTCAGATGGCATAACAACCAGCCTTGCCACTAGATACCCAAAGAGTTCATGGAACAGATAGGAAAGCTATCTATCTTCAAATTGCTGCCAAGTCTTCCTTAGTTTGAAAGGAATATAATCCAGCTGTCTGTGCTGCTAAACCCAATACCTCTTTCAACAGTAATTTATATGCACAGTTTATTGCACTGACATGCAGCAATGACGAGTGGCATTTTATAAGAATGAGCTGTTCAGAAAAGAAACATGCACCTAAATGGAGAACATAATAACCATTAAAAAAATAGGATTAGAAGAAAAATAATCACATACTACTGATTTATCTCGACAGAAAAATGGAACTGTTTTTATCAAAATGAATGCAAAGTTTCTCTGCCCTTGAAACTGCGCATAAAGATATTAGTTAGAGCCAGTTCAAGCTGTCCTTCCTGGAGTTAATGCCCCAGTCACAAGGAGCATCTTGAACCCTGGCCTGTAGTTTCACCCATGCCAAGCCTCAGGGTACCGGAACAGCAAGATGGATGCCTGTGCCTAATTCATTCCACCCGCTGAAAGACAACCCAAAAGCTGTGGCACTATAGCTGCTGCTTGAGACACCATTACAGCAAAACTGGGTTATGTTTAAGAACAAAAGAGAAGAGCTGCCCTAATGCAAAATGTTGCCCATGTCAGTAGAATCATCTGGAGCATCGAATAATCAGAAGATATGTGAGGGCCAGCATGCTCCAAGTTTTTTACTGGGGACAGGAAGCACATCTGGCCTCCAATCCAAGGTAGCCCACATGGTCTTCTCTGGACAGGCTCAGTAAGCAAAGCCCAGGAGATCACGCTGAACATCTGGCTTTTGCCCCAGCGTGAACTACCACTCCCTCTCAGCCCTGCACTCTGCATTTTTTTAAACAAGCCAAGCTCAGTCACCACAAATGCTTTGGTGGGAATCAGCAGGAGGCCCTCATCTCTTGTCCCAAAATAACGTCAGCCAGAGGCAAAGGCCAAAGAGGTGGAGCCTGCAAGCCATTTTACAAAAGTTTCAAATATCCTGGTACTGACCCCATTAAAAGAACTGTGAAGGGGAAGCAGCCAAGTCTGTTTTCTCATTAGTGCCCCCCCAGATCCCATTACAAACATCTACGTGTACATGAAAGAAACAAAGAGATCTTGCATAAAATCCTATTATCAGTGCTGGCCAGTGGAAACAAACTTTCATTTTGCAAACTTAATATCAAAGCAGTGACATTAAAAACTATAAAACAAATGTGCATACTCTGTGGCAGCTTATTCCCCCAAAGAGGTCTCTGAGGACAAAATAAGACTGAACAAGGAAGTGGTGAGCTGTCCCACCTTCCCTAAAGCCTTTCTGAAATAGTTAACTGCCTCAGATTTTCCATACTCTGCTGGTCCTTTCCTCTGGAGACGGAGGAAGCAGATTTCTTGGCTGTACAGTTTAAAAAGTCAAATAAAGCAGTCTTCTTTTTAGTGTGTAGAAGCCCTTTCAAAACACACACACACACGTACTTTTTAAAATATAAAAAAGAAAGGAGAGGAAGAGGAGAGAGAATATGAGACAGATGGAAAGGAAATTGTGCTTAATCTTGTCCACTTTGTAAAACCCTCCCACGAAAATCAATAGCAACTAGGCGGAGACATACTACTCTCAAAACACATACGTCTCCTCCAGCACTACAGTACTGTTAGCACTAGGAGACGATGTTACAGATGGGGAAAAACCTCAGAAACAAAGCATACATTGCTAAAAGAACACAAAGTGACATCATCTGCTGAAAAGTTTAAAAGGGTCGGCTGCCCACCTTCATCTGCTCAGACAGAAAAACAGCACCTCGCCCCAGACCGCCCGCCCTGACCATGCCCTTTCCCAAACCCTGCCTTCCCAGTTCCCAGATCCCCAGCCGATCCTCCCGTGACAGCGCCCCCGCCTGACAGCCACCCTCCCCGCCGCGTCCTCACCGTGGGACACAGGAAGGCCTCGCTCTCCCCGGGCTCCGACAGCTCACTCAGCTTGCGGTCCCACCGCAGCGCGCTCTGCTCCCCGCTCTCCAGCACTTCCATGGCGGGCCGCGCGCGGGCGCCGAGCGCAGGCGGGGCCGGCGGAGCCGCCGGGCCGGCGAGTTTCCTCTCCGTCCGCGTGTGCGTGTGTGTACGTGTGCGCGCGTGTGTAGCTTATGCACTCAGCAGGTCAACGTCTGCTGCCCTGCTCAGAGTGCACGGTCAAGGGCTCGCGTCCAGTGTCCTCGCCGATCTGGGAATCTCCAGGATACCGGACAGAAGGCTGCAGGAGTTACAGCGGGATGCGCATCCAGAATGAAGGCAGGAAATCAGCTCCCAACCAAGGGAACCCTCTTCAGAACACGCCCGCTTCCTACTAGGGCCCCAGACAAACTTTGAGACTCCCTGGGGCCTGAGGCTCTGCTCCGGGATCCAGCTGCGACCCCACCTCCCCAAGGCAGTGACCAATCAAATACACACCTGGCCCGCAAGACCCAATCAGAAGTCTTGCTCTCCGCCGTGTCTCGCCCACAAAGGCAGGGGCTGCGGGAAGTCTCCGCCCAACCTTTGGAATGTGGGCCGGGAGCGCCTTTGACGTCACCGGGGAACACCTCCCGCGGAGTGCGGCCGCCTGCAGGTTGTCTGACACAGCGGACCAATAGACGGCTTGAGTGCGGGCTGATGGACTGGAAGCTCTACCAATAAAAAAGGAGCCACTGAAAAGGCTATCCAATCAAATAGCGACAAGAATACATTTTGTAAAAGAGGGAGGGCGCACCCAGTCTTCTTGCTGAGAATCCTCAGAAATCAGCGGGTGCGCTGTCAGGGGCCGCAAGAGTTGCTGCGCGGCCGACTTAAATACAAACCGAAATATTTTTAAGTATTTTAGTTCATTTGAGTCTCTCGGAATTTTTTTAATGAATTACATATCATGCACAAATACAAATGTTCCCCTTGTGCATAAATTAGTATTAGCGCAGTTCTAGCAGATTGTCATTGTTCTTCTCATTTTTCGCCCGTTTTCTGTTGTTTTTTCAGGTCCTAGAGAGGTGAGTTCTTGAATTCATAGACTTTTTTTTTCTCTAAGGAGCCAGGCAATAGAGAGATAAAGAAACACATAATATAATTTCGGAAAGATAAAAGTAAAAGCAGGATAAGCGAATGGAGCAGGTCGATGCTATTTTTAGATACTGGCAAACTCTTTCTGAATAGGTGACATTTGCACTTACCTGAATGAAATGAGGAGAGTTCGGAAGTTGTTGGGTGTTTTGGTGACCTGAGGCACCAGGCAGTGAGTGGGGAGAGAGGACAGAGATGGACAGAAGCCAGATCACCTGGCTGCCTAGATCAGGGAAGAGGTGACTTATTCCTCCCAATGTCGTGATTTTTCTTCCTCCTTTTTGATTCTTCCTCTTAAGGAAACAGTCCTTGAAAAATATAGTTTGCCTATCTTAAATACAAGAGTCTTTACCAATTGGTTCTAGAAATTTCTTATAATGGCATAATCAGATATTAGGTATTGCTTTGTCCCCTTGACAAGTGTTTTTTGGTGGGTGGTGACAAATATCTTAGAACTCTATATTGTCATTAAACAGCAGTTCATCATATAAACTATTCTATTTGCCTGGCCCTATGTCCTGGGGTCTTTTGAGATTATTTTAATGTTAAATAGAAACTCTAGTTTATGGGCACATACCTTCCTTATGTAATAGTTTTCTTATTTTTCCATCAAGTTCTTGATTTGTTTTCCAACCTGCTACCTCCTTTGTCACATTATTTTCATAGATCACCCTTTCAATTTTTAAAGACCTTTCCTATTTTTTTAGCATATCATTTGACCATGAGCAAGTGAAGTTAGGATCGGACGGATGCTCCTCAACTTACAGTGGGATTATGTCCAGATAAACCCATCATAAATTGAAATATCATAAGTCAAAAGTGCATTTAATATACCTAACCTACCATCACAGCTTAGCCCAGCTTAGCTAAAATTTGCTCCGAACGCCGACATTAGCCTGTAGTTTGGCAAAACCCTCTGGCAACCCATGTGCTGCAAAGTACTAGTTGTTTACTTTCGTGATTCTGTGGCTCACTGGGAGTTGCAGCTCCCACACGCATATCATGAGCCTGAAAAAACAATCCCAAAATTCCAAGTATGATTTCTACTGAATGCATCTCTCTTTCACATCATTATAGAGTCAAAAATCATAAGTTATAAGTCGAGGACCTTTTGTACACCCTCCTTAATGCAGGAATACAAGCATTTATCTGTCAAGCATTTCTGCTTTTGACAAAGTATAATCCTGGCTATACTCCATGTGGTAAACAGCTTCTAAGATGGCCTCCAAGCATTCCCACCTCCTGGTGCTCACACCCTTGGGCAATTCTCTCCTGTTGAGTGTAGGCTAGACATGGGGACTTCCATCAAACAAACAAAATATGGCAAAAGTGAGGGGGGATCAAAAACATTCTGACTCTTGACTTGCACAAACTCTTTCTCTCTTGCTTGCTTGCTCTGCGGGAAACTGGCTGCCATGTGTCAAGTTGCTCTGTGGAGAGGCCAGTGTAACAAGGGATTGAATAAGGCATCCTGCCAACAGCCAGTGAGGAACTGAGGCCCCCAGTCCAACAATGCATGAGCAACTAACATTGGCTAATAGTCATGTAAGTATACAAGAGGGCTCCCCCAGCGAGCCTTGAGATGACTACAGCCCAGCAGCACTTTGCCCACAGACTTGTGGGAGCACCCAGAGCTGGAACACCCAGCTAAGCCACACTCAGATTGCTGATCCACAGACACTGTGAGGAAATAACTGTACGTTGTTTTAAGCCACTAAGTTTTTTCTTTGAAAAATTGTTATTATGGCCATTGGCACCCTAACTGGTTTGGTTAAGTTTGTCTGCACTCTAATAATAGTGTCACAATCGCTCCTGGGGAGTTTCTGCAGCCTTCTTTTTTCATGTGTCTTTCTCCTATTAAATGTACACTCAACTTCTTACCAGCCTATCTTCCTGTCTTCTATCTTGATACGAAAGTCTTTCCCTTTCCCTCTCCTTCTTAAGACTTAGTAGTGTAGTTGACTCTTTTTTCAGATTCTCTGGAACCCTTTAGGAAGTAGTGGCCCTTGTTCTTCTGTCTGATATTAATAGCTTAATGGCACCTGCATGATTGGAAGTCATACTTTCCCAAAACTAAAATCAGACACATGAGCCAACAAGATATTTTTCTGATTTTTTCCTTTGTTATTTGCTATATGTTCGTGTCCATCTATTTACAAAATTGTTCTACCTGCTTTCTATATCTTCATCTCAATTATTAAGATGAATTATTTCCAAAAAAAAAAAAAAAGATGAATTATTTCCAGAATTGGGCACTTGGCAGATCTCCACATCGTGAAAATAGACTCCACCTTCCATGTTGACATCCATTCATCAGCATGCTTTGTATTTGTTAAACAAATATCGATCTATTGCATTTTCCTTTTCTGTGTCCTATGATTTTTTTCAATTTATCCACAAGGATTTGTTAAGTACGTGGTAAATTTCAGACACCATTGTGTCTAAATTTTTTTTTAGGTATAAAACTTTTTAAAAGAAATAAACGGAGTTCTGTCATTTACCCTTTTCCTAGACTGGTACTTAGGGGAGAAAAAAAGTCATATTCAATTCAAATATGAAGATGTGTGGGACCCAATTTCAGAAAGACAGATGCATCCCAGTCTGGTGTTTCTCAGGCTTCCTGGAATCAGAACTGAACTTTACCCTAAAAACTTTGCCAAATGAGTGTCATAGCAGCCAAGGAAGCCGAAGTTGGTGATGGTCAGAAAGATGTGATCATCTTGATTCTTCTTCCTCAACTGGAATCTTTCTAGGAGATTCAATCCTGCTAGCCCATAAGCTGGAGGGAGTGTTCAAAGCCTGTTGCCTTTGCTGCTGAGAGGAAAAGTCTCCCTGTCAACATGAAAAGGCTGTGCAAAATAATAAGCAAAAGCATCCCTGGCGTCACATCCTAACACCCATACATGACACAGGCCTGGAAGACTTGGTCTTCTCGAGTGAAACTGTAGGCCAGAGAATGTGTGTGTGTGAGCAAGAGACAGTAGTTGGATTATCAAGGTCTTCCTTATTGAATGGTAAGCATTAGATGAAGAAGAGAGGCCAGCAAGAGAAGGAATGATGTAAAGGATGCCTGCTCTTTCAGTTTCCTGGACTGTCAGGATAAAGCACCACAAAACAGATGGCATAAGACAACAGAAATGTGTTGTCTCACAACTCTGGAAGCTTGGGGTCCAAAGTTAAGGTATTGGCAGGGCCATTCCCTCTAGTTTCTGGTGGAATTCCTCCTTGCCTCTTCCCAGCACCTGGTGGTGTCTACTGATCCTCGGTGCACCACGCCTTGCAACTGCCTCCCTCTCATCTCCGTCTCCATTGCCACATGGCATCCTTCTTCTGTGCACCTGTCTCTTCACATGGCATCTTTTCCCTATATGTCTTTATCTCCTCTTCAGTATGACTTTATCTTATCCAATTCTATCTTCAATGACTGTTTCCAACTAAAGTTGCATTCTGAGGAATGGGGGGTTAGGACTGCAACAATCTCTTTCGGGTGTACATGTTCAACCCTTAACACCTACCAAGTCACCATCAACATTCCCCACACGACTGAGCTCCTAATGTAAGCACCTCTCTGTCTTGATTAGTTTACTGGCCCCAAACATATTTATTTGATTCTAAAATAAAGGTATCATAGCTCCCCTATCCAAAACAGGCCTCATTACATGTAAGACATAGAATTCCTGTCAAGGTGTGCACCACCCTCTGAAGTGTCTTTGCTTCCTCCTTCCCTTTATACATGTCCACGCATGAGCTCATCGTAGCAGTCCCCTACAAGCACTCTGAGTTCTCCAAGTACAGCCCCCTTGGTGTCCTTGTTGAAACCATTTGTGACTACACAATCAGATTTGCATGTTTGGACACTTCTCATTGCGCTTGAACAGCTTCTGGGTGATAGTATGGCAAACCATGGAATCCTGCCTATCCCATCTCTGAACATTGTTTCAAGTTCTGAAGATGTATCTATTTTGCTCCTCAACGCTCTTGACTTTCTACCATTTCTTCAGAATTTTCTTTCTATTTGAACACGTTCTATCATTCTATTCCAGTTTGGAATTGGAGCAAACGTTTGCTATCCCCTTGACCTTCCTTCTTTTAATTCTTCCTGTTCTAACAGTGTTCAGTATAACAGAAATTTTGCAGCTCTGAGGAATTTCTTTCGATTATGATTGTATAATCAGAAATAGTGCCATATATCATGTCATTCCTCTTTCTTATATGTAGAGCAGAGAGAAGAGAAGATGTCTGGGAGAACCTACAGTCTCTCCCTAGGAAATG